GGGGAGGATGGAGGAGGGAGAGGAGAAGAGGGAAGGAGGGGAGGAGGGCGAGGGACAGGAAGGATGGAGGAGGGAGAGGGACAGGAGTAGGAAGGATGGAGGAGGGAGGGGAGGGGGGGGAAGGGGCATCCGGTTGGAGCTGGTCCACCTGTCTCTGCAGGATCCCCGCCGTCTCCATGCCGGATTACATGGTTCACGAAGAGTTTAACCCCGATCGGACCGACGGTAACTATGCGTCCAGAAGAGGGCCCTTTGACTTCGATGCGAAAACGGTTTGGCAGAGGGAGGCGGAGGAACGTGAAAAGAAGAAAAAGGTGAGGGGCGGGCTCCTGCCGGGCGGCGTCACCGTGCTTGCCGCTCCCCGAATCAGCTGAGGCCGGGCGTCTTTCGACGGAGCGCATGTGTGCGAGGGAGGGGCGGAGGGCGCCTCAGGCCGACGGCCGCTGCGCGGGGAGCCCTACAGCTCCGTCCCACGACCCTGAGGTCAGGACCTGAGCCCAAACCAAGAGTCAGCCGCTCAACCCACAGAGCCGCCCAGGCGCCCTGGCTCTGTATTTTAAATTTGAATCAACTAAAAGGCAAGAGGCCATGATAATATTACTTTTTTTTCTTTTTAAGAGTATTGATTTTATAAGATTACCTTGTACTAAGTGAGTTTTAACTAGTTAATGTTTATCTAGGGCAGCCGTGCTGTGGCCCTTCTCATTCAGCATGTATAGGAAGGACATTCTATATTTACTCATTATCCAGTCTCTAAATGTGTCTATTGTGTTTAAGTCTTTAAATGAAGATTGCCCTGGAATACTCTTTTTTTTTTTATTAACAGTTCTTTTTTATTTTTTAAAGATTTTATGTATTTATACTTTTTTTTTAAAGATATTTATTTGAGAGAGACACAGCGAGAGAGAGGGAACACAAGCAGGGGGAGTGGGAGAGGGAGAAGCAGGCTTCCCGCGGAGCAGGGAGCCTGATGCGGGGCTCGCTTCCAGGACCCTGGGATCATGACATGAGCCGAAGGCAGACGCTTAACGACTGAGCCACCCAGGCGCCCCTATTTATACTTTAAAAGAGCAACTATGAACTGGAGGGCCATCTCTAGTTGGTGGCCTTGTGGTTGGGATGTCTCAATTCCAAGGCCTTCCGATCCCCAGGCTGTCCAGGTCTGAGCATTGCCCACTGAGGCTCCAGCACCAAGGTCTTAGCTCTTGGGACCCAGGGAGAGAAACAGTGGGTCTCCTGGCCTGAACCATCTGTGCCTGACTCCCAGGCTTGGCTTCTCAGTGTCCTGCTTTGAGGAGAAATGCTGATTTTGGGGACTCCAGCAGTTGAACACCACATAGAATGTCAGGTGTCCTGCCACAGGCTGCATGGTCTTCCTCAGAACACCCCCAACCTCCAGCCGTGGTCCCGCCTTCAGTTCTTCTGCACGATCAATGAAACGGACTATTTTTAGGACCAGGCCTGTGTCTTGGTGATACGTAAGCACCTACACCATCGATTGAAAAAGGGGATCTTTGGGAGTAGCCACAGCCACAGTGCGCATCTAGGGAAACTTTGAAATGCTAAATGCTGTACCAGCTCCAAATCCCGTGGGCTTTCTGAGCCACAGACCAAAGCTGTGCGGGGCTGAACCCAGGGCAGGAAGCAAGCCTGTGCGGGCCGCCATACTTAAGGAGGCAGGGTGCCAATGGGCTGTGGTTAAAGACACCAACATGGCGGACGATTGAGTTCCAGGAACGAGGTGTGGGGTACCAGCCGGGGGTGTGGGCACCCCTTTAGCGGGGGTTCAGATAGCCCGGACTTATCTTCACCTGCTTCTGCACACGGCTCGTGGGAAGCACAAATTGCACAGAACCTGGGGGCAGTTCTTGTGTTATTTTCTCCCTATGTCCCACGGGACCTTGGGCACAACTAGAGTGTGAACTTGAACTTGGATGGAAGCGTGCACAATATTAAGCTAGGATTTGACGGGCATCCGGCCCCAGCCTCTCCTGAGTGCCTGGCTGTCCCGCCCCATGTCCCCCAGGCCCGGCCATGACTGGGCCTCAGGGAGCAGAGTGGGGGCACGGAGCTTCCCCAGCTCTGGCCCCTCACTTGGCACGTGGCAGACGTGAGACCATATTTAGGGTACTGTTCCCCGTGGATGACCAGCATTGTGGGGTCTCACTCACCTCCAGGGTGATTGGGCTGGAGCGGGTCTCCGCTTTCTGAAAGGCCGCCTTCTCCCCCCGGTGAATGCCAGTGGTACCTCCGTGGGCTCTGTGTGCTTGCTCGGTTTTCTGCTCTTTGTTGTTTTTCTTCTGTTTTTCTGTAGCATTTTCCCCGATTTTGTTATGCTGTAATTTAGACGCAGGAAATCCACATTCTTACTGAGCACTGTTCTGCGGGTTTCGACAAGTGCGTAGCCACCACAAGCCATGAAGGCACAGAGCTATTCTGTCGCCCCCGAAAGTCTGAGCCCCTTTGCAGCCAGGCCAAACTGCTGCCGTGGAATCGCGCGTCATGTCTGGGGGGTGACTGTCGCATGGGATGCTTGCTGAGTTGTGTTTTCCCGTGGTTTTGGCCCGAAGAGTCATGACCCCGCCCCAGGGTCCTCCTGTCCCGTGTGTCGTGTCCCCTCTCTGGGACTGTCCTCCTTCAGCTTCTGGGCGTCTGTCCCTCCACCACGGTTCTGTGTGCTTCTTCGCACAGGTGAGGCTCCCAGCCATTAACTCCAAGTACCCGAGCAAAGTGGGGACCCCGCTCGGCCCCAAAGACCCTGCAGGAGGCAGACTCTCCTTCCCTCCCATGTAAGTGCACGGGCAGTGCCCACACATCTGGGGCGGGCTTGGGTTTGGGCTTTTTGGTCCTCCATCTGGGGGACAAAGGGACAGTAATGACAGCAAGGCGCTGGGCTGATGGCCGAATGATGCCCACTTCCCGGGAACACGTTTCAGTGATGTGACTTTGATGTCACACCCCCGTGGCCTGGCCTTGTCCCCCAGTGTCCGTCGCGTCCCCGTGGGGCACAGCTGTCCCCCTTCCACGTCCGTGCCATGTGGGCACCGAACTTCTCCAACCAGCTGCTCTGTCCCATGAGCCTGTGTCCTGCCCGAGACACCCCCCCGTGGGGACCCCGTCCTTACCAAGGCTCGCCTTTTATGTATTTACTTATTATTTTTATTTATTTTAAGATTTTATTTATTAGAGAGAGAGAGAGCACAAGCAGGGGGAGCGGCAGAGGGAGAAGCAGACTCCCCGTTGATCTGGGAGCCTGACGTGGTTCTCGACCCCAGGACCCCAGCATTATGACCTGAGCCGAAGGCAGACGCTTAACCTACTGAGCCACCCAGGCGCCCCAGATAATCTTTTTTTAAAAATGTATTTATTGATGTCGTCTCTACACCCAGCCTGGGGTCGAACTCATGACCCTGAGATCAAGAGTCATGTGCTCCACCAACTGAGCCAGCCAGATGCCTCCACGGCAGATAATTTTTAATGTCAAGGAAGAGCTAATCAAGAAAGTGACAATTTGGTAAAGAAATGGTAGAGCCCGAGCAACCAATTGCCACTTGGGAAAGGGCGCTGTTTTGTGAAGACGGCATCCCTAAGAAATGCAGCATTATCCTCTAATTGGCTGTCATGAACAAAGGTTTTAGAAACAACTAAGCAGGCTCCCACCCGGTGCAAAGGGATGATTGGAAGTGTGTTTCCTTATGCTCAGAAAGAGGGACAAAGGGTGGTACTTGGCTGCTCCATCGGAAGAGTGTGCGACTCTTGATCTTGGGGTTGTGAGTTCAAGTCCCAGGTTGGGTATAGAGATGACTTCAATAAGTAAATAAACAAAATAAACTTTTAAAAATGGAGAAAGGGGCACCTGGGTGGCTCAGTCAGTTAAGCGTCTCCCTTCGGCTCAGGTCATGATCCCTGGGTCCTGGAATGGAGCCCCGTGTCGGGCTCCCCGCTCAGCAGGGGGTCTGCTTCTCCCTCTGCCTCTGCGCTCCCCCTGCTTGTGCTCTCTTGCTCTTAAATAAGTAAATAAAATATTTAAAAAAGTTTTTTTAAATAAAAAAATTTAAAAAAGTTTTTTTAAATAAAAAAATTTAAAAAATGGAGAGAGGGACATTGAGATCGAGAGAGAGAGAGAGAGAAATAGCTCCATTATGATTTAAGGGACAATAATGCATCTCAGTTATTATCAGCACGCCCACTAAGACCTGGTCCGGACTATCATTAACCTTGCCTTTTTTTTTTTTTCAAAGATTTTATTTGTTTATTTGAGAGAGAGAATGAGAGAGAGAGAGAACACGAGAGGGGGGAGGGTCAGAGGGAGAAGCAGACTCCCTGCTGAGCAGGGAGCCCGATGCGGGACTCGATCCCGGGACTCCAGGATCATGACCTGAGCCGAAGGCAGTCGCTTAACCGACTGAGCCACCCAGGCGCCCTATCATTAACCTTTCTACTGAGGTTTGACATTCATTTCTCTCTTTTTGAGGCCTGGTCAAAAAGCCAGTTCACCCACAAACTTTTCCAAACTTATCAGCAATGGGTACAAGGATGAGTGGCTCCAGCGGCGAGCTGACTCAGAGAAGAGGGCCCTGCAGACCTCCGGGGCAGCACCCCCGTCTCCGTCCATGCAAGAGCCCGAAGGGAGCCAGGATGCAGGGTCGGACCCAGACCTGGAGGTGCCCGGGGACGCTGAGGATGTTCAAGGTGAGCACACCCTGCAGTCCCGGTTTGCTGAGGCTTCTGTTCCTTGAGATTTCTTGTCTCATTTTGGATCTCACACTGAGTAATCTAAAAACCGTGGAAAATCCTATGGAAGTATAGTGCTTACAGTGACACAGGAGGATCATATATGTTTTGCTCTCCTCTTTATTCCCATAAATAGCAGAAGTCATGATCTCCATGGCTTTCCATTTTCTTCTTTTTTTAAAAAAAAGATTTCATTTATTTATTTGAGAGAGAGAATGAGAGAGAGAGAGAGCATGAGAGGGGGTAGGGTTAGAGGGAGAAGCAGACTCCCCGCTGAGCAGGGACCCCGATGCGGGACTTGATCCCGGGACTCCAGGATCATGACCTGAGCCGAAGGCAGTCACCTAACCAACTGAGCCACCCAGGCACCCCTCCATTTTCTTCTGTCAACACCTTTGATACTTCATTGGACCTACAGGATCCTGGCCCCTACGATATGTGAACTTCTGTGTAGGCGGCTGGTCCCCTCCGGGGCAGCTTCATAAAAAGCCCTCAGTTCTGTAAACAGAACTTGCACTTCAAACTTGAAATTATTCCATTACCCATGTTCCTTACATTTTGTTCTTAAACTCTGAGTAGTTTGGAAATAAGTGTGCCTGTCATTAGATGTTACAGATCCTATATTCGTTCTGATTTTTCCTAGTCCCAGTGACAGGCGGACTTAGTCTTATTTTTGGCCACGTCCGTCGTAAAGCCTGTCGACTATGGTGTTGACTTTCTGTGGCTCAGTGATTATTGACCATTTGTCCGTAGGCAGCTTGTTTCTTCTCTTGAGGCTTCATTTCTTTGGTTAAGATGGGAGGAGGAGGTTATGTCTCTGCAGGCGTCCGAAATGCTGCATGTTGACGTTTGTCAGCAAGGTCTCTGCCCGCCTTCCCCGTCCAGCCCCCGAACGACCCCAGCGAGGGGGATGGTGCCCGTGCACCTGCTCAGCGCCGGCCCCACACTGGCCCTGCACTCTGTCAGTGACATGTCCGTGTCCTGTCTCCATTGTCACGATGGATATGTGACAAGGTCGCACTCAATGTCGCTAAGAAGTGCACTTGTGAACATTTCCATGTTAATTGTGTTCTGTGTATTCTTGTTTTAAGTGATACAGTTTTTTTAGTCATTTTATGTAATTATTAAAAGTACTAATTCTTTTAGTACCAACTCTGTTTTATTAAATTGAACAGCTCATGTATTTGTTCTTTATTATAGATGCTCCTCCTCCAAGTGAGTATTTATAGAGAAACTGACTGCATCCAAATGTGAAAAGTGTCTCACACACACAAATATCGATGGACATAGTCAAATAGGAAGCTGAAGCCGCTGGGCAGCCCAAGACGTCCTTCCCCAAACTGCATGTATTCTAACTGCAAGCTGGACCTAATTTTTTAAAAATTAGAGTCTTGGGGCGCCTGGGTGGCTCAGTCGGTTAAGCGTCTGACTTTTGGTCTTGGCTCAGGCCATGATCCCAGGGTCCTGGGATCGAGCCCCATGTCAGCCCCAACTCAGCAGGGCATCTCCTTCTCCCTCTCCCTCTGTTGCTCCCCCTGCTCATGCTCTCTCTCACTATCTCTCAAATAAATAAATAAAACCTTTTTTAAAAAAATTAGAGTCTTAGAAGCACAATTTGGAGGTAGAAAGAAAAGGAGCATGCATACTTCAGCATAAGGTTACTTTATTCTGTTATAAGACATACCTTGCTTTAGTTCAGAGATGGGCATCTCATTACGCACTGTGACCGATGTGGGTTTCAGTGATCGAGCAGGACTGACCGCACCACGGGGGGACTCCAGCCCAGCACCTCACACACCGTGGGCGCAGAGGCTCTCCGCCCACAACATTGCAGGATGCTTAGCATGATTTTTCTGCACTGCCTTAAGCAGGGAGAATTTACTTTACCACCAACGAAATGTATGATCTAATCAAGGAGTTATCATTTGACATTAGTGTAAGTTTATAAACTTTCTATCAGGAAAAGAATCGTTGCGTATGTTATGTAATTCATGTGTTTAAATTAGTGAAACTTGGGGTACCTGGGTAGCTCTGTCGGTTGAGCGTCCGATTCTTGGTTTCGGCTCAGGTTGTGATCTCAGGGTCCCGGGATCGAGCCTTGCATTGAGCTCCATGCTCAGTGCGGAGTCTGCTTGAGATTCTCTCTCTCTCCCTCTGCCCCTCCCCACCCCAAAATAAAGAAATCTTTGAAAATAAATAAATGAGTGAGACTGGCATGAGACACAGGATTGCTTTTTGTTTGTTTTTTTGTTTTTTCCCTTTTTGCAATTTTTGCTGCCGGTGTCTATGTTTTTGGCATGCCAGAAAGCTAGCCTGTAGCCACCGGCCCAGATTTCTAGTTTGCTAGAGCCAACATTGATGACAGTGCCCAGGCAGGAGCCATGCAGTGCCCTCTGGGGCTGGGGAAGTGCAGGGACCCTGAGACCCCGTCTCTTCCCTCCTGCCTGCCCCCTCCCTGTCAGCTCCGCTCAGCACACCCATGTCTGGGTCAGCCGGGCCTTTCCAGCACGTGCAGCCTCAGCCCAGAATTTGGTCAGGGTCCCTCCCTTGTCTAGCTGTGCACATGGTGGAGATGGAGGTTTCCCAGGTATGAATTGGGTAGGCAGGTAGGGCCCTGCATTTCACTGTTATGTAGACTTCTGCAGTAGTCCTGAAAAATAAGGACAGAAATATGCGCTTTCCGTCCCTTAAAATTAATAGGTTAAAATTCTTAATTCGTAAAAAATGTCGTCTTTATGTTTCTTTCCCCATCAACCCGTCTCTTCCCTTTGCTTTACAGGAGGAACCCCATCTTCATCGGCATCTACACCAGGAGAGCTCAGCTAAACCCCCGCCTACTATGCACCTAGGATCGCTTTCTGATGGCTGAATAGGATCTGACTACGCGGCTATATTTATGGGGCTCCTGCTTTATTTTATGAACACAGATTCTTATGAGATAGTGTATCTTCGAGCCGATTTGAGATCATGGTTGCATAGATGGTACACATGTTGGGCGTTGCTTCCTGCGTCTCCCTGGGATGTGAAGCACTGTGCCCCCCTGGCCTGGGACGTCCCAGTGTCTTGGAACCACTTCCTCCCCAGCCCACCATCATCTGACCTCACCTGCTCCTCTGTGAGTCTCCGTCAGTGACATTTCGATTGAAATCAACTATTTAGACTCAACCTAGAAGAAACTCAAAGTCTTCCTTTATTTGGTCCTGTAATCTTTGTAGAAATAATTTTTTCTGTTTCAAAAAAATTTAACTCCAGATTATTGTGACATACTTTATATTAAGAAAAAGGTTGATTTATGATGCCTTAAGGTTCTAAGCATTTAATGTAAAAGCATGGTAGCATTTGCCGGTTTAAAATGTTTGCTAATATTTTTTGCATAAACTGAAATTTATAATATTACACACTTACTATTTTGTATCGTTTAGGTAAAACTATGTTTAATTTTAACATTTAATTTAGTAGTCTTAACAAAAATTTTTAAATAATCAGATTGAATTTTATTTTATAAATTTTGCTACTGTTTATATACATAATTAGCATGACAATGTAGCTTTATATTTTGTACATTTAATTCATGAATAAAATAATTTTTGCTGGAAGATTTTCAGAAAGCCAAATAAGGTCTCAAGTATTTTTTTTTAAATCAATTAATTTACTTGAGAAAGAGAGAGAGAGTGAATGAGCAGGGGAGGGACAGAGGGAGAGAGAGCATCTCAAGCAGACTCCCTGCTGAGTGCAGAGCCCGATGTGGGGCTCAATCATCTCACAACCCTGAGATCATGACCTGAGCGGAAACCAAGAGTCAACACTTAACAGACTGAGCCACCCAGACACCCCACGTTCTTGGGTATTTTAACATCTCTCCCAGAATAAACTTACTATGCACTTACTCACCAAAATTTGAAGTTTTCAAGAACTGTGGTTCTTTAAACGAGATACTTAGCCGAGCGTCTGTACTGTGTGAGCCATAGGCAAATGGGTGAGTGTGAGACAGGACGGAGGTCTGGTTGTACTGAGTGAAAAGACTATATAGTCGACCCTTGAACAACCTGGACTGGAACTGTGTGGGTCCCCGGTAGGTGGATAGTTCATAGAACAACACTCTTAATGTGTTCTCTCTTCCTTATGATTTTCTTAGTATAATTTTCTCTTCTCGAGCTTACTTTATTGTAAGAACACAGTATGTGATCCATAGAACATACAAAATATGTGTTCATCGATTGTTAATATTATTGATAAGGATTCCAGTCAACGGTAGGCTGTTAGTGGTTAAGCCTAGAACAGAAGACAAAATCCTGAAATAGACCCACACAAATATGCTCAACTAACTTATCTCAAGGGAGCAAAGGAAATTCAGTGGAGAAAGGACGGTCTTCCTGGAACCATTAGACATCTTATAGGCAAAAAGGACAAAAATCCAGAAACCCCCTTCACCAAACCATCACAGCTAAAAAGGGATCATGAACTTAGATGGAGAACGTAACACAATAAAACTTTAAAGAAAAACATAGGGAAAATCCTCGGGATCTAGGGCAGGGCAAATAATTTTTAGGTTTGACAACAAAAGCATGATCTATAAAAGAGAAAATTGATCAATTGCTCTCATCAGAATCAGAAAGAATTTTTCCCAGTGAAAGCTCATATGAAGCAGACAAAAACAAAAACAAAAAAAGCTACAGACTGGGAGAAAATATTTGCAATATTGGCAAACGATCTACCCAACAAAGAACTTGCATCTAGGATAGGCAAAGTACTCTCAAATCCCAACAAGAATCACCAAACAACAACAAAACCCCAAACGATCCAATTAAAAAATGAGGAAGGGCGCCTGGGTGGCTCAGTCGTTAAGCGTCTGCCTTAGGCTCAGGTCATGATCCCCGGGTCCTGGGATCGAGCCCCGCATCGGGCTCCCTGCTCTGCGGGAAGCCTGCTTCTCCCTCTCCTGCTCCCCCTCGCTGTGTCTCTCTGTCAAATAAATAAATAAAACCTTTAAAAAAAAAATAAAAAATGAGGAAAAGAGGGCGCCTGGGTGGCTCAGTCGTTAGGCGTCTGCCTTCGGCTCAGGTCATGATCCCAGGGTCCTGAGATCGAGCCCCGCATCGGGCTCCCTGCTCTGCGGGAAGCCTGCTTCTCCCTCTCCCACTCCCCCTGCTCGTGTTCCCTCTCTCGCTGTGTCTCTCTCTGTCAAATAAATAAATAAAACCTTAAAAAAAAAAAATGAGGAAAAGACATGAACAAACTCCACCCCAAAGAGGGTTTACAGATGTCTTAAGCACATCCAAAGGTGCTCAACACCCTTAGCCACCAGGGAAGTGCAAATTAAAACCGCCACGAGAGATCAGCGCACAATGATCACACGGCTAAAATTAAAAGAATATAACATCAAGTACTGGTGAGGATGTGGAGAAACTGGATTTCACATCCATCGCTGGCCAGAATGCAAAGTATTAAAGCCCCCGCAGGAGACAATTTGGCAGTTTCTTGTAAGACTAAATGTGTAACTACCCTACTACCTAGCAAGTGCACTCTTGGTATTTATCCCAGAGAAATGAAAATGTATGTTCACACAAAAACCTGTACATGAAATTTCATAGCAGCTTCATTCTAATAGCCCATAAGCAGACACAGCCTGGCTGTCTTTTGGCGAGTGAATGGTTAAACCGGAGCGCCCACATCTTGGCACAATGCTTGGCAACAAAAGGACCTGCTGCCTTTAAGAAAAAAACTGCCGGTTATTAGCAAAATGGGTTTATTCAGGAATAGTAGAGAAATGCAATGGGAGACAACCCAGGTTCAGGCAAAACGAGAGGTGAATCCCTAAAACAAAGGAGAGGTCCACTCTTAGAGAGAAAGGAGGAATTTGGGAGCATTGGTATAACAAGAAGTCTATTGGAATAAACTGGGAGCGCAAAATATACTGGCTTCTCATTGGCTGAGCTGGGACAGTTTCTCATTGGCTGAACTGGGAGTACCTCTCATTGGCTGAGCTGGGACAGTTTCTCATTGGCTGAACTGGGA